AATGGAAATCCAAATCTCTGTAAATATTCATTAAAATAAAAAAATAAATTATGGATAACATTGAGGGGAAAAAATCATCCTTAAATTAAAAAAAAAGAAAAGATAGCCAATTTCCTAGGTGCTATTTACAGGTTCTGAAAACCTGCTGGAGGGTCATCTTTGGGTTGGTTCTGACTTGACAGTTGTTAGGTGCCATCGAGTTGACAATGACTCACAGCTACCCTATGAACAAAAGATCTGAACCCATTCTGTCCTGCACCATCCTCACCCTTCCTGACACACAAGAGCCCATTGCAGCAGTCACTGTGTCAATCCACCTGGTTGAGGGTCTTCCCCTTCTTCATTGACCCTCCACCCTTCCCAACATCATGCCCTTTTCCTAACAACAGCCCCTCTTAGCAACATGGCTGAAGTATATGAAGCAAAGCCTCATCATTCTTGCCTCCAAAGAGTACTCCAGCTGTACCCACTCCAAGACATATCCATTTGTTCTCTTGGCCTCCATGGGATGTTCAGTGCTTTTCTCCACCGCCACAGCTCAAAGACTTCAATTCTTTTCCTGTCATTCTTATTCATTGTCCATTTCCAAGCACAACAAGTGATCAGAAAGACTATGGTGTGAATTAGATACACCTTAGTCCTCAAGCTGACATCATTATTCTTCAATAATTTAGAGAGGTCCCTAACTGCATATTTTCCCAGTGCAGTGTGACCCCTTATTTTTGGACTGCTGGTACTGACTTGATAGTACTTAAGAACTAATTTGATAGGAGACCTGGCAGCACAGCAAGTTTTGTGTTGGACTGCTATGCGAATGGCTGGTGTTCTGAACTCACCAGTTTTTCTGCTGAAGAAACGTGGAGCAGCCTGCTCCTCTAACAATTCACAATTCCAGAAACTCGATGCAGGGTCACTGTTAGTTGGTGGCATTTTGTTTTGTTTTGGACAGTAAGTTTGTATTCTTTTGAGACTTCCTGATTTTTTTAATCCTTCCTATTCTGTCTAATGGAGCATAAATGGTTCCCAGTCCTGTGATCTCTGAGAGTTCTCACTTTTCCTTTCTCATGGTTGTTTCCAGCTCTGGGTAGTTTCTTTTCACTCACCTGCTGATCAGAGTCACAGGTGTGTCTCTGGAACTCTCAGAGCTCTTCCCGTGGGCAGCTCTGTCCCACCCAGGTCATCTGTCCTGCATGCTCTGGACACCGAGACCTCCGTGAACTCTGCTCAGCGTCTCCTCCTCCATCAGGACCCCGAGGCTCGGCACCATAGGGCAAGCTTGGCCGGTGAAGGCTCACTTGACTTTGTTCTTTCTTTTGTGCATCATATTTTTTGCTGTTATCTATTATCTGAAAACTGGTATCTTTCACACTGTTGTGTGTCACTGAGTCAGAACCAACTCACAACTGACCCTCCAGCAAGTTTTCAGAAGCAATTAAACTCACAGAAGAGGAAGACTGTTCTCTTTCTCCCATGAAGCAGCTGGTGGATTTGAACTGTGTGCCTTTTAGGTTGGCAGCCAGTTACCACTGAGCCATCAGTGTGCCATCTTTTTATTAAAACCTGATCTTCTGGTTGTTTGCAGTGGGAGGCTCAACTGGGCTTTATGAAATATTAATAGAAACCTAGGAATCACTTTCAGTTTCAACTTCAACCATTGATTTTGGAGATTGTTATTTTAGTTATAAATTTTCCCTTTATATGGAATACCTACATGTTGTTGTTATGTGCTGTCAAGTCGCTTGTGACTGATAGCAACCCTATGTACAACAATCCTATGCCCTGCTTTATCTTGTGCCAATCTTATTGTTTCTGACACACCTACCTCTAGTACCCTAGTCACTGAAACAATCCATCATGGCAAAAGAATTATTAAAAAACTCACACTCATCACAAATAATTCAGGCCAGTGACTCTTAATGGACTGATTTAAGTGTCGTCATGCTGTTTGCACATAATTAACTTTCTTTCAAAAGTCCTGATTTATAGTTAAACCTATTGAACCTTCACAGGCAATTCTCTGGTTGCAGTGGCAGGCAACACATGATTTTAAACAAATACAAATACAAAGGAGTGCATGGATGCCCTTGGCTTCCTTCCCATTCTCTGCTCACACGCTCAGCAAACACAGAAGGCGACATCAGGTTTTTTTGCAGAACTATGTAATGGCTAGAAAACAAAGTCCTCGTATCTGGAGTCTGCAGTTTAACTGGGGAGCTTGGGTTTGTATTTGTGGAAAGGCTCGAGTGACGATTTAAGAGCATTCTACAAAGAAACGTAGGTAAAAGTGCACATTAATCTATGCGTAATGCTGGGACTATACGTTGTGGAGCTGCACAAGAACAAAGTGACTGCATTCAAGTGGGATTAGTCAGGGAAAGGTTTCTAGGTGAGATCCATTTGCAGATGTGCTTTTAATAAGTGCTACTGGTGAACGAAGGAACTAGGGAACAAATGTTGCAGATAGAGGCAGTTGTTGTTACATACCATCAACTCGCCTGTGACTTATGGTGACTCTATCTACAATAGTGCTGAACCCTGCTCTATCCTGAGCCAACCTCATTGTCTCTGACACACGTTTCCCCATTACCCCAGCTACTGTGTCAATCCATCCCATCCAGGGCCGCCTTCTCCTGCACTATCCCTGCACCCTTCCAAGCATGATGTCTTTCTCCAAGGACTGGCTCCCCGCCTGGCCACATGCTCAAAGTATGTGAGATGGAGCTTGGAGATCCTTTCTGCCAAGGAGCAGCTTGGTTCACCCTCTCCAGACCAGGCCTGTTATTCTGTTGGGAGTCCCATGGTCCATGTTCAATACTCCTTGGAGATGGTTCTCTACGCCCATCCTTCTCTATGATGGGTTATGCCCACAAAAAAGACACAGTCTTATTGCCTAGTAGTTCTGATGCCACTTTGTTTCTCCCAATCATGACAGAGACTCTGAGTCAATTCTGAGAGAGGGGATCAAACAAACACCAAGCCCACTG